CTTCTATTACTTACTCATTAAAAATACAGCAGTAATACTAAGGGTTGTGTTATACGCTAGCTAGGAAGGCGTTAAGGCATTGAACCAGGATAGCCATGAAGCACAGACACCATGAACATTGTCCATCATGCCTCCTACTGCCTGAGTAGCCATGCAGCATTGACCCAAGTCCCGATCTTGCCTTTATGCAGCTTAGCATAAAGCCTGGAGAGGATTCTCTGGGGACAGATACCTCTAGGTATTCAACAGTCCTAGTTGGAGATGTCTACATTACATTAGTGTGGTACTATGACCATCATGCACGAACAAGCAGTTCCTTGACAGCGATGCTGCTGGGGAAAGCTCTCCAATACAGCCGTCCAAGAGAGAGGTGTTATTGTCTGTTCAGGAGGGCTCTGGGTGACAACATCCTTGTCCTGCCCTTGGGCAGTTTGGAATGACACAACCTGCGTTTGCAAAATTGCACCACGGAGAAATGCAGTGAAATACGGCAGTCATGGGGAAAGCATCCACGGACCGTTCTCTGGCTGCAGTCTCTGCCCAGACCTGCATTAGCAATGAAAGCCCTGCCAGACGTTCTGGGACATCCAACATTTTCTTCCAATGAAGAAAGAGAAATTCTCTAGATAGCCTTGGCTTCCTCTTGAGCATAAATCAGCATGTCAGCCCACTGTGTGCGCTGCTAATGAGTCAAGGGAGCCAAGGGAAAAACTGCAATCAGGAGAGAGGGAGCAGGATAGCTTGGCCTGCCACTAAAACTATATTGTAATTTAAAAACACCCTGAACAAAGGGGAAATAATTCAATGGATGAGAAACAGCCAAGGGAAAGCTGTTGGCACAGAAACATGTGCACTCTTGACTTGGCCCAAGGGTGAACAGCCAATATAAAACACGCATGCTGTCACCCAACAGGCCTTGGACACCTTTCTCAAACAGTTTGTCCTGCTGTCCAGGGACTTGGTGCATACTTGGAGAACAGTGTCCCCTCAGAGGGGTAGGATATCTCCCAGGTGAAATCACTGCAAGATGCAAAGGTACACTTTCAAAGACTCTGGGGTTTCAGTGATGCTGTGACGAGGGTGCCATGCTAGGATGGTACAAGAAAATAATCCAACTCCAATTAACCGCATGTCCAATTAGCCACCCATTCTTCCTGCACTTCACTTCCTTCTCTGACAGCTTTATAACAAATTCTTGCTCTTTTGTGACCTGGGGGCACTCAAAAAAAACCTCAACAACCCTTCTAAGTTTGCTTGCAAGTTAACACAGGGTGCCTATACACGTGTAGTTACATGCACCTAAATTTAATGCACCTTTGTTTAAGGTGCATTAAATTTAGGCTTGCATAGCAAAGTTGCATTAGCCCACATGTAGCCACACTAATGCGCATGAATGTGGTGTGTGTCCATTGACACACATTGTGTTAATGCGCATCAAGAGTCTACATGTGGGCTAATGTGACTTAGCTAATCAGGCCTAAATTTGGTACTTGCTTTAAGTAGGTATCAGATTTAGGTGGGGTTTGCTTAAAAACGCCATTTTTAAGGTGCATTAAAGGCACACACGTGTGGACACGCACCCTTAATGAGCCTTAAAAATGGTGATTTTAGGCTAATCCCGCTTAAACAGGCTACATATAGAGCTCACAGTGCTACAAGATACAATCCTGGCCTTTGGACAGAGGTAATTTTTCACTGCTTCAGAAGGGGAAGGAGAGTTGCCAGCTGTTGTGGTGTATGTTGTACGTACGGTGTCTCATGCACGTATGGTGTAGCTGTCTCCTCTGCCTGTTCCAGTAGCGACACAAGAGACCTAAATCCTTGTAAAGCAAGTGGAACAGGATTAAAGCTGCAATGGTTTTGTTGCATTCATGTTGCTCCGCTCATATGGGGAACCACCCTGTTAGCGGTCAAGTGCACGTGTTCAAAACGGCTCAGAAGCCGGGTCCACTTATTGTGGCTGTTCTGTGTTCTCCTATAGTCTGGATTTTGCCCCTTGAGGACTCACAGGGATGCTACTCTGATCTCGGACACACGGTTTGGAGGCACTACAGCGGGCATCGGGCATCCCTCTGTATATTGCCGGTGCCGTGAGAGCCCCAGCTTCCTAACGTTTACATATTTGTGCTCAGTCTGATTATAGTTGAGGTCTGCAACTGTTTAGCATCTCAGCTGCTTGGATCCCATCAGCTAAACACACCGAGGTCTAGGAGACCTCCAAGGAAATGCAGGATGCTGTAGGAAGTGGGAATGAGGCATAGACCCAGCACAGCGTTGTTTCGTGTAACCCCTTGTAAACAGAACAAAGGATCCCAAGCAAGAACAAGGAGGAGGAGGAGCCGGACGTGGGACCTGATGCATGCCCGAGTGCAGAAGGGAATATATCTGAAAGCAAAGTCAAAGAGGAGGAAATGCCTGACATGGCCCCTCCGTCTTGCAAAGCTGCCCCCTGTACCACAGGATGTGACTCAAGGGAAATTACTGAAGACTGAAAGGCATCAGGCTGCATTTGGGACTCTCTCACACCTGCCATCATGGGTGACATTTGCCCCATTAGGAGAACCAGCATGGGTGGCCTACTGGGAGCAGTGGTAGAAGCCCTCAGCCTTCTACGAGAAGCCCCCCAAGCAGCAGCAGCTCCGTGGCTGTGCCTCTTAAACACAGAAAGCCCCAACTTCCAATGCTGTACCTGTATCCCGGCTAATCAGAGCAAGACCACAGCTCGAAAAACAGGAATCGGTGGCACTAACATCAATCTGGTTTATTTTTGCACAATGACCTATTGCAAAAGCACAAAGGGGTGAATCAGGAGGAAACTTGCTGACTGGACCAGTAGCGAGGCGGGGATTGCCCTAGGAAAAGGAGAACAGAATCTCCAGCAGATTTTGCTGAATTTTTCTCTTCTTTTTTTTTTTTTTCCCAGAAATGTTGAGGTGCAGAAACCAAGAACTTACCAACATGCTTGGCTTGCGACAAACAAACTGACCACTCCAGGGGAAGAGTTCTGGTGTGAGACGCACCCAATCCCAAATAGGAAGGCATTTAAAAAGTGAACTGGGCAAAGCACTGAGGGATAGGGACAAGCTCTTTCCATTGGCAATTTGCTCCAAGTAGACTTGCCCAGCTCTAGATTCAGGTGCCGGCCAAAATAGGTCCACAGCAGAGGATGCTCCATTTCCCTATTGGTAGGAGCTACTAGGGTGGGGGGATAGGATAGGGTTAGGGTTTATGAGTGAGGGCGCAAGTTAGTGGGGAAAGACCCTGAGAGACTGCTGAGGGAAGGTAGTAGCATCCACTGGTTCTTTGTAAGATGAAGTCACTGTCCTCTCTCCACACCCCGCCACTCCCATCCTCCTTTTCCTGATCTTCCTTTGCCCCTACCCCATGATACAACCTGCCTCAGACATGCACTGGATTGCATGAGTGCCTGGGGGAGCATCAGCGTAGTTTCCCTGAGGACATTCAGCACATGACAATACAGCATCTAGCCTAATATCCTGCCTCCAACCTTGTAGGGAGGGTATAAGAAACAGGTCTCATGTAGAGTGATCCATGCCCTATCATGCCATCCCAGTTAGTAGCAGTCATAGGGATAAGGATGTCTCGAAGCCAGAGGTAACATCCCTGCCTGTCGTGTTCAATAGCCCCTGTCCTCCACAAAGTTATCTAATCTTTTGAACCCAGAGATATCCTGTGGCCAGGGGACTTTTGTGGAAGATGCCTAGATGACCTGACATGGGTGGTGGGGGATGGACACAAATCATACCTGTCTGGAGCTCTTAACCAACCAGACACATTAGACTGAGCTGTAGTTGTAACGTGGCTCCATTAACAAGCTTAGACCTCCAGCAGCCACGAGCTCCACAGATTGACTAGACAGATCCTGTCACATGCACCTTCAAAGTCCTGCCTCCAGCTTCACTGGGCAAATCCTGCTCAGGCATTAGAGGGAAACACACAATGCCTTGCCCAGACCTGTTTCAGGGATATGTTTGGGATCCGTGTTGGTCTGAGACTAAAAGAAATGCAAAACTCTAGAGTTTTTGGCTCAGAGATTAACCCTTTTATGAGACCAGCTGGGAAATCATAAAAAATGCCTTATCTGCACATCAAAGAGCAACCCACAAGGACACTCCCATGGACCCAGAAGAACAGACTTCCACCTGCAGCTTCCTCTGTGCAAAAATGAAATTTATTTTCTACTTTTAGGGACTTTTTACCATCTTTAATTTTCCCTGAGCCTGAGGAAGAGTGTGTGCGCTCAAAAGGTTGCCCAGACCTGGGCTTTATTATGTTCTCTGTTACCTGTTACTGGGAGCAGCTTTGTCAAGGCCTCTTCTACCGTCCTCTCTAGGGTAACCTGCAATACCTCCCTTCTAAGTCCGGACTTCTAGTGACCCCTCAATCTTTCCTGAGCCTGGCCCAGTCCAGATGTCCCATCCTACGGTCATTTCCTCTTCAGCTTTCTCTTTCCCATTTTCAACACAACCAAACGTCTCATTTGCTGCTCTGGCTTCTGCAGCACGCTGGACAGCCCACAGCATCCTGCTATCATCAAATGGTCCTTCAATCTTTTCCGGCTCCCATCTGAACATTGAGGGAGGTTCAGTCATCCCATTATGCATCTATTTGTGTTAAATTACAGCAGCCCGGTCTCCGGCACCCCAGTTCAATGAGGTCCCTCTGGGGACATAGCCGGATCCCTGTCAGCAAGTTTCATCATCGGTTGCAGGGTCAGAGCAGAGCAGCAGTCGGATGCTGGCAGTGATTTATTTTTAAATTAAGGGTGGTGGGGAGAGAGCTTATTAAACATTTGTTATTTTAAAACCCCAGTGTATTTAAAGCAGGGTACAGGGCTTGCAGAGAAATTCAGGGAGGCAGAGGGCTAGCTTGCCCTTGTTCCCCCATTTCACCCAGCTTCAAAATCTTTCAGTAGAGAGAAATACCTTCTCATTGCTGAAGTTCACCTTGGGTTTGCTCTTCCCTCGCCGTGGACCTACCTGAGCCTGGAGACAAAGTGTGCACCCGCTCCACCGAAGCCCCTGGAAACACCAATTGCCCACAGGAGGCTCCAGAGATGTTCAAGGCATCAACTGAGAGGATCATTCATTCGGGCACAGAGGTCGGCATAAACCTTGTCAGTTGTTCCACCAGGCACCTCTTCCAGGAGGAAACTTGTTCTCTGACCCCCTTGCAGACAGGCACATACATGGAGACACACACACGCACACAAAGTGCCGTTACTATGTTTTTTAAGAGACGGGGGTGGAGGGAGAGCCACAAAAACATCATGGGATGGGAGATTCTTGGCAGATTTCCTTCCTGAAAGCAACAGCTGGAAGAGGGTGTAGCAGTGATGTAGGAAAATTGGCGGAGGGCCTGCGGATGACCCAATCCTAGAGAGTAACAGGCTGATTCCTAAAGTCCCTGCCAAACATGCGACTCACACGGTCCCTAATAAGGTTCAAAGGCTTCCCCAGCACAGCATCTCTCTCCTGCTGCCCCTGTATGTCCTAGTGATGTGGTTCCTGGACATGAATCCCAGAACAGAAGCAAATCTCAGGGTGAATGTATGCAACCACCACTCTTAGTCTGGATCATTTCTCTCACCTCTGATCCAAGAGGACAGGGCTGCTACCTCTCTCTGGTAGTCTCATCCTCCTCCGGTCTCCCTCGGAGATACTGAATCATTCCCCTCCCTTCAAATTGACTTCAAAACTTTCCTCTTCCTCTGGCCAGAAGATCAGCGTTCCCTGATGGCTTGTATGATCATCATGACATTAGCAATGGCAGGGTGGAAGTGTCCCAGGACCCAGTACGGGGCAGAGTCTCCTGGTGCTACCCACTGCACAGATATGTCTGCATTGCCAGCTAGACCCAGCTCAAACCAGCCACAGTGAATGGCCTCTGTGTATAGTAAGCCTTAATCAATACCACCTAAAAAATCAGGGCTTGCTTACCTAGGCACGTGTTCCCAGTTATACCAATATAATGACACCAGTGTATTTAAGGAATGGCACCAGCACAGTTAAACCACAGAGTTATGCTGCTAGGAGCCCTGCTAGGACCCTCATTCATTGCAATGTAACTTGTTGGGTTCCCTTTGTTGTTCTTCACATGCCAGGCAAAGACCTCTGCAAGAAAACACATCTGCATGTCAATGGTGGTAGAAGAAACCACCTGATTGTGGTAGTTAAAGACCATGGGGCAGATTTTTATTTAAAGACTGCTTTCTTATGCCACTCTGGTAATTTAATGGGGCCTTAAAGCACTAGAAAAGCACCATGTCCCCGCCCAAATGATGTAAAAAGGGCCTTTGAGCATATGAGAATCTGGATGATGTCACATCGCTTTCCTGATGATATAGATGCTAGTTGTTGCAGGGGGAAGAGCACACAATGTGGAGATGCCCAGCACAACGCCCCTGTTCTCTACACAAAGCACTTCCATGCCACCAACTTCCAAATGTCACCCACTGCTCCTCATTATCCCCCTTCTGGCCAGGCATCCCCTACAAGAGCCGTCAGATCATTATTAATAAGCTACCAGTGAGACATCGAAGGTGATGAATACCCATTGGAGTGAACTTCCAGTCCCCACATCCGACCAGCAGGGTGCTGCATGGGGGAATGAGAAGTGACAGAGGTCGGGGCTAAGGAACTAAGGGAAGACACAGCTATTGCAAAGCAGAATGACAGGAAAGGTAACAAGAAGCTGGAGGAGGAGGAAGAGCAGAGCACATTAAGTCTCTGTCTCTCACCCGACATCCTGTCTGCACCCTCACACCATCCTGGCTTCCATAAGAGCCTCGAGGGGACAGTCGGAGTGAGAAGCGTCTGAAATGGGAAGTCAAACCAGCCCCCCTCGAGAGGAGACCTCAGTGTGGAACCACAACGCCAGCCTCCCTGGGGTACCTGATGTGCCTTGGGATCAGAAGTGGATGGAGGAATAAGGGTTGGATGTAAGCGGGGCCTGTGGAACGGGTTCCCTTCTGAGCACTGGGGCTGTCGGAGAGCCTGGTCATCAAAGCAGGGTAAAACCCAGAATCTGGGAATGAAGGGAATGATCCTTCCCCAGACCGGGTGTGGAAACGGCTGACTGACAGAGGGGGAGCTTTCTACCTTGGGTTTAAGTGGAGCAAAACCTTGGGGTCCTAACTTCATTTGGACTCTATCCATAAATTCCCACTGAATAAGCACTGCAGACGTTGCCCCCACCCCACAATAGCCAGCTGCCGGGTTCCCTTACACGTGGGATGCATAAACCCGGTGGCAGTGACAAATGCTGCGACAGAGGATCCTGCCTGTGATTCCTCCCCCAGGAACCTCACATTCATGAAGTTATAATAAACAAGGGCTCAGCCTAAATCAGAGTATTAAGAAAACCAAATATTTGCATCTCTCGCTTCCCAGATCCTTTCTAAACCAAGTGCCTCCAGCATTTCAATTCCATAAACCCACCCCTTGTGAATTACTTTGCTCCTGACACTTTCAGCTATATGCTTGCTACACTGGAAACTCAAAATATTTGAGAGACAAACATCCATTTTAGCTTCGGGAAAGAGGTTACCATCCTATGGGCCTTGCAAAACAAGCAGATGTAGAGGCAGAAATTGCCACAGCAGGACAGACCAATGTGTTCCTCTCCAGTAACATCTTGTCTCCAGGGACAGCCACCACTGGGTCACAGTCAAGGGCTCATCTGAACCTTTTGACCTCTGGGGCTGTTTAGATAAGACACACCAGCCCCTATAGCCAACAGCACATAAGGATAGCATCATGCAATAGCCGCTATTAATTCTCCAACCCAAATGACCACGAAGCCATTTACAGCTGGGCTGACGAGGGGACTGCCTTTGACCCAAGTCCAAGGCAATGTACAAAGTCATATCTCTGGAGCCACAGTGAGATGTCTTAAGTATTCAGCCACCGCACCCTGCCCATACTGGATATTCCCTGGGGACATGCTATCCCCAGAAGTGCATGATGCACTTCAGTGTGCAGTATTTTACCCTAAGAACAAATTTCTTGATACCACTGGACAACTACTTTAATCCTGAAGCAGTGGTGCTAGTAGCTTTTGTAATCGGAGTACCTCCACAGTGCATTCATCTCCATTTGGCCAATGTTGGCAGCACACAAGATGGGTAGAAACTTTTACCATAGCAAGAGAAAGTCCATAAATTAAACAGCTCCTAAGCAAAACCAATTGTTCTTAGCTTTAAAGGAGGTTCCACATTCAAACAGAAAGAAACCAAACAGAAAATAGTCTCAAGGATGGCCTCATATGAGCCTTTCTCCATGTCATACCCTCAGTCAAAATGCTGGCAAGGATCTTTCTTCTCAGAAAAAGCTGGATTTATCCATCAGCTGCACACAAAGCTCATTGGAGGTTTGTTTCTGGGAATGAACTGGGAGGGAGGAGACATCCACCTGTCTCGCTATGAAAGGTGGCCAAGAGTTATAACAGGGGCTAGGGACAGAAGTTAAACATAAACTGGTTTAAGTCATCAGAAACAGGTTTAAACCTGTAACAGAACAAAAGCTCAATGTACATAAACCCATTTCAAAATGGCTAAAACTGGTTTAAGATAAACCTGGTTGAATGTAGTATCAGACTTCACTAGTTTGGGTCAAACTGGTTTATGAAACTTCTGTCCCAGACTCCTTCCTGGTTCAAGTTAAATCAGTGTCCCCCTGCATCCCAGCATGCTTTGCATCCCTGGGTTGTGCTGTGCTGTCTGCTCCAGCAGAGAAGGGTTGGGATTGCGGGGAGGGGGGAAGAGGCAGGGACTGCCCCCCTCAGGTAAACCCTGCCTGGGGTCTGGGGTCTGGGGCCAGGGAGGGGGATTAAGCCCCCCTTCCCCCAGTACAGAGCTGCCCTGCTAAACTTACTGAAAGTTACTGCTCCCTGAAACTGTGGACTATAAATCCCAGAGGCACCTGGAAGCAGGAAGAGGAAGTAATGAGCAACCCTGCAGAGTCCTGCTGCTGTAATGCTGAACTGCAAATCCCAGAGACCTCGGGGGCAGCAGGAAAAGGAAGTGCCAGAGAGCCTGGTCTAAGCCACTGCTGGCACGTGGCTGCAATTCCTGAATCAAAGGTAAACGTGTATCCAGTTGTTTCTCAGTTTAATCGCTGCAGTTTAAGACTAACCTGCAAAGACTGAATCGATTCAGCCTCGGGCTTTTTGGCTGCCTGTACTTGGCCAGGGGGAGCATGGGTCAAACTTCTGAGATGACAAGTACTCAGAGGATCCTGTGAATGTAATGGAGACGCAGAAAATTAACAGGGAAAAAAGAAAGGCAAGAAAACTTTATCTCCTTCTATGTGCTTCAGATCAAATACCGCTACTGCAGACTCCCTCTTGGATCAGATGGTAACGCTTGGTGCCAACTGTACGGTGTTTTCCTAAGTTCTGTTTCTGTCAGCAAGGAAATACATCTGGCAGGAGAGCCAGTTCTGGAGGAGAGCCAGGCAAAGGCTCTGTCTGCAATGAAAAGTTCAGAAGGCAAGCAGGTTGTTCTGACTAATAAAGCCTTTGCTGCGTGTTGTCAGAAGTGATGCGAAAGTACTGGGCCTGGAAAGATTAAAAAACTACTGGGAGATGCACGTTCTTTTCAGCCTCAGAACAGCAAATGCCAAAAGGAATGAAAAGAAAAGGCAACAGCTTTGCACGCAGCAAGGCTGCTTTTAGATGCCTCCTGTTACTCTCTGGACATCGATAGATCTCTGAAAGCAGAGAGGAGGAGGGAAGAGAGGTGGACACCAGTGTCACTGCTTACTCAGAAGAAAGAAAGAGCCCCCGCATTCACCCAATGAGTCCCAGGCTCAGTATGGGCTCAGTGCCTGGAGATGGCATGGGATTTTTTCACAGTGTCAGTTGGTTTCCATGTCATTGTGACTGAAGCCATAGAAATGTTGGGTGGAAGGGGCCTCAAGAGATCCTGTAGCCCAACCCCTTGCACTCAGTTAAAGAGAAGCCCCATGCTTTTACCTCTCAGTAGAGATATTAGGGCACAAGCTCGGAGCCTGAGATTCAGAGAAAGCCCTTTCATTTATTCCGGTGGGCACAGGCGGAGGGCATAAGCAAGGGGGACTATTAGGGCAGTGGTACCATGTGGATAGCACTGACCTAGACCTTAAGCATGACATTTGTACTGAAAGTCGAAGCCCTTACAATCCTCCCTGCCCATCACATTTAGCAAGACA